CAATTTCATTTAAAAAAAATATACTTTTTGTCACTCCGAGCCTAGCTTACATTTTCTATCCTCTTCAAGATTAATAATTTTATCTCCACTATAATAAAAGTCATTATAAATTCACGAAGGGATAATTAATGCGTGTTTTTTAAAAGTTTGAGAATAATTATAAACATTATATATATAAAGTTCAACATTATATAATTATAAACATAAATTTGAGATTATTTAAAAAATTAATTTTTAAATTGATATTATTGTTATTATTATTAACTTTCAAACTTTTGAAATTATATATATATGCCCTAGGCATTTTGGAATAAGATAATAATAATTATAATAGTTCGAAAATGAAAGATCTCGTTGCAATTATTTTTACAAAATGGGAGTAAGGAACAATGTTATATGAAAGAAACGGAAGTAGGAAAGAGAATTGCTCCTTGTGATGCAGCAGAACCATATGGCAATTAGGATCTCAAGACGCAGCAACACCTATGATACAATGAATAATAGACTTACATCACGATATCTTTTTCTTCYTCATTCTGATTTTTGTTTTCGTATCACAGATCTTGGTTCGCGCTTTATGGCATTTCCACTATAAAAAAAAAAAAAATACCGCACAGAGGAAATAGTTTCTTCTCGTCGACTCATAGCTCCAAGACTCCCTCCTGGATTAAGCAAACTCCTTATTCTAGTATTCTTCAAAAATATTCTAGTCTCCGGTTTGCAAGCAGATGAGAAGAGAAGTTTGAGAATGAAAAATAAATATATGGAGGATGGAAGATAAGAGAAGAGATAATAGGTATCATCCTAATTTCGCAGTTCTTTTAATTAAATAGATATTGATTTATGTTAGAAAACGAATTTTTGAAAGTTTAGCTGTTTGAGCAAAGTGAAACCTTTTAAAGTTATTTTAATCAATTTTTCCTAATCCTCAACTTAAATAATAAAAATAATAAAATTATTATTATTAATAACTTTCAAATTTTTGAAATTATATATTTTGGAACAAATTGGAAATACAAACAAGAAACAAGAAACTTGTTTAGTTTGTTTCAGAAATTTCTATACAATTTTGAGATTTCTAAATAAAAATGAGAAATGGAAAACATAAATAATTGTCAAATACTTGGGTTTCTTAATAAATTTGAAAATGAACGGACAATAGCGTTATCAAACATATTGTTTAAAAGGAAAAAAAAAAAGGACGTACCAATAAACATGTCAATAGAAATTTGAAATAAGATGTAAATTTTGTTTTTTCATAATTAGGCACTTAATAAAGTGTTAATAATTTATTTGTTTGGTCTTTTGATCTTTGTGATCTTTGCTTCTTTTTTTCTTTCTATAATTGTAATTTGTTAATTATAAATTTTACTTTTTTAATATAGAATTTAATTATTATTTTAAAATAACTATTACTAATAAAATTAAAACATATCGGTAAAATAATATATAAATTAAACAAGCAAAAATATAATAGGCTCAGGGGATACTTTCTAATTAATTTTTAATTTGATTTATTATTATTAGTATTATTAGTATTAATATTGTTGTTGGTAATCATCATTATAATAATTGAAAATTTTTTATTCCTACCGTTGAACTTGATTTTTGCAATAATTGTAGGGTAAAATTTTACAATTTTCCTTCTCAATCAAGAGATTAGAGCCTTCGACTTCTAATCTGTTCAATATCTTCAGCTTTTCCTTCTCCATAATTTTTTTGGATCAATCTCTTGGTTTTCTATTGATTTCTTTGGAACGATCTTTTAGCTTGTTGATCTCTTTGGATCGGTATTTCGAGTTTGGTCTATTTCTTTGGATTGGTTAATCAAGTTTTTCGATCCATTTGGATAGATTCTTTAGGTTAGTTGATCTCTTTAGAGTGACACTCTGATCTTGTCGAAGTTTCGTACGCTTCATCTTCAAAGTTTTATGAATTCTCCGACTTCTAGATCCCCTTGAATGATTAGTGGTTTCTTTGTGTATAGAGTTTCGTGAACTTTAGCGGGTCTAGACTTGGGTAGTTTTGAACTCAACCTTTCGACTTGAGTTCTTTTTGGGTCATAGGCCCAATTATCTTCAATGAGCTTTGAGCCTTATACTTTAGTTTTGGTTCATTTGGATAATGTAATTTCAAAATATGTATTTTATTCTTTCTACTTTCAACTTTTGTTCATTTTAGTCTTTATACTTGCAAAATGTTTGTTTTGGTCTCTATATTTTTAAAAGGTGATCATTTTGATCCTTATTTACAAAATTGTAGCATAAATTTCATACACAATGAAAACTCTTTAGTACAACTTTATGGCTATATTATAAGAAATTTTGTAAATGAAATGCCGTGCTAACATTGTGATCAACATAAATGGAATAAAAATGAAAATGAAGAGAAAATGATCAAGAGTACATTGACCAAAACGGAAAGTACAAGGACTTTAAATGAACAAAAGTTAAAATTCGATGGACAATAAATAGTATTTAAACATTAAATATATACTTTTTTACATCCATGAGTGTCTTCTAGACCAACTTGCGTGAACCGACTAATCTCATGGGACAATGCTTGCCCTACTACATTTGGTTAGCTAGATGACCACCATGATTTGAACTCATTCTCTCTAAATTCTTTACAATTTAAACCTTGAATAACTTAAAAAAAAATAATATTAATGACATTATGTTCATATCAGTGGTATTATGTTGATATTTTTTTTATATTTTATCGATTCTTTTGCAATACATGTAAATGTCAATTCACCCATCATGTCGAATTCATGAACATATGGAAATGCTGACCTATCACTTACCTGCTCTCTACTACAATTTTATTCCCAAAATTTTTGGTTCTCTACCACTCACAGCATAGCTTACATCTACTATCATCTTAAAGATTAATAATTCCATCTCAACTCTAATAATTGTTACCTAAAAATAAATTTAGGAAACCCCACTATTTATTCAAGGAAAAGTTTGTGTTAACTAACTTTTGTAACGGTGCAAAGTAGTTTTAGTTAAGTACTTATCAAAATTTTCATAGCTTTTGCTTACACCATCGAAGATAAGTTTAAAAATTCTAAAGTGCTTTTAGGTCGGGTAATTTTTACTTGAAAGTTTCTTTTTTCTTCTTCTTTTTTTTTTTCTCCATTTAGGAAAGAAACAGGCTGAGTTATAAAATGAAGCTAAACAGTCTTTTATAAAAATTTCAAATACTTCTCAAGAGTAATCTTCAAGCCATATTTGGTGCGAAGGGAACGAGGTTGCACACTAAATAGCTAAGTTCAAAATGGAGACTAAGAATAAAAAGTCATTGTAAACTTACTCTATGAAGAATTAGTGCTATGTAAGAGTTTTTGAAAGTTTGAGAATAATTATGGATGGTGGAGCTTATAAAGTTTAAAATTATATTAGACATTCACTCATACTTCAATTGGTTAAACTACATCATCTTTCTCCACTCCCGCATTAGTTGTATTAAAATAAATCATATATAAACATAATTTGTCGTATTATTAATGAAAAATTAACAAAGTAGTCAAGAAGCCGATCTTTCTTAATTCTAAAGAATGAAAAAATTCATTCTTTCTCGAAGGAAATTAATTGCAAATAAGTAGCATTGCACAAGTCCCACCCTTTAACATATTGGGACAAAATGTTTTGTGTTCTTTTTGTCTATTACATTCTTTCATTTATCTAAATGAAAGCTCGATTTTTTATAAGCGAAGTCCATTGATAGTAATCAAAGGGAGGCACCAACACAGGTCAAAGTTCCCAACAAAGTATGCCCTTAGCCATGTGATATAAAAATATGATGCATTAGGAAACACTTAGAAAAAAGTGTTAAAGAACATTGGACAAAAATTAGGGGTGCAAAGAACCCAACCGAATCGGTTCGTGTCCCTTCAGTTTGGTTTTAATGTTAGTCGGTTCGGGTCGGTTTTGGCCTAAACAACCAATGTCTTGGCAAGCACTCAAGAAGGTTCTTTGCTATCTTAAAGGTACAATGTTCTATAATTTACATATTACACCATCACCTCAACTTGGGTTGTCTGGAAATTCACTTATCTCGTGATCCTCTAAAAAGCAACAAATTGTTGCTCGATCAAGTACTGAGTCTGAGTATCGAGCTCTTGCCCATGCTACAGCTGAACTTGTGTGGATTTGCTCTTTGCTTTGTGTGGATTTGCCCTTTGCTTTCTTTTAGTTTCAACCGAAGTCCTCTCTCTCGACGAGATGACGACCCCAAGTAGCATGCGAAGGAACGAGAGGCTGCAACCCCATGCTGATGGAATGGAACCCAGCACCAACGATCCCAGGCTACACCGATGATAATCGTGCAGCTGCGACCCCAAGCCGACGGAACCCATCTCTCTCTCTCAAAAGATCAATTCCTCTCGCACACAAAAGATGGATCTGAATTTGCTCTGTCCTCTCAGAAAAGATTTGGTTCTCCCTGTACAAAAATCGATCTGGGTTTGCTCTCTTTCTCAGAAAAGATCAATCTGGGTGCTCTCTCTCTCAAAAAAGATTTGGATTCAATTTCATTTTCAAATAGGAAAGATCTAGCTTCAGTTTCAAATAGGAATGATCTAGGTTCAATTTCAATTTTCAAATAAGGAATCATTTGGGTTCAATTTCAGTTTCCAGATAAAGAATGATCTGAGTTCAATTTCAATTTTCAAATAAGGAAAGATCTTGGTTCAATTTCAATTTCAATAAGGAAGAATCTCATAAATCTCACAGCTAGTTTCACTTTGAAGGAAAAGAGTGAGGGAAAAAAGAAAATGAAAAAATTGGAAAAAAAAAACACCGACTCTGAACCGAACAGGTTTGTCCAAAAAACCAACCCTAACCCACAAATTTACACCGCTAGGCAAAATCACTCCAAAATTCCACTTATAACACATTTCACTAACGGACTCCAATTATTGACAATTACGCCTCTCTAATATCCTAATAATATCCCTAACATTTCCCTATTCATATTCAGTCCAACACAGAATGAATGGGAAAAAAGGCAGAACATTAGGCCAAAATCTGAAGGTCAAACATAGAATCAACCAGTATTACTCTGTTTCCTATATTTTCTTTTGATATTCATCATTAAGATACACCATTACAAAATGTTGGGACAAGACCACAATGAGGAAGAAAGAAAAAAGAAATGAAAGCACAGAAGCTAGCTCATCAAAGACTGACAAAGAAGAATCACCTGCTAACGACCCATGAATTGATTTCCAATGATCAGTGTTTTGTTTTCTTCTTGGATTTTGAGGTTATCTTGCCATAGGCCAGGAGTCTAGAGTGTGACAGTTTAAATTCCGCTCGTCGTAGTTTTCTCCTGGCTTTTCTAGATAAATTGCCCTTATCACCACTTGAATCCTCAATTTGTGTTTTCTCATTCTCATTGTCATCCGAAGTGTGTGTATCGGAGCTGTTCTTCCTTCTCTTCATGCTGCCTTTCCGGTCACCAGATGGCCCGCCGTTAAGGAGCTCCTTGGTCCTCATTTTCAAGCGCTGTCTGGTACTATTTGGTATCTTCCATTCTTCCTTGTAAGGAGCCAATTTTTTCAAAGAAACAAACTGATTCAACTCCTTGTCATCCATTGCCATGATTTCAGCAGTACTCAATCCGTAACGATTACGTGGTATTTTGGCGTACTTGAACCTCGTCTTCAGGTCTCCTATTGTATCCTCGTAATCCAACTTATAATATTCCTCCATCATGGCTTCTTTAGCTTTCTGGTATAGAGATAATTTACGCTTCCTCTTTCTCTTACCTTTTTCTTCCTCACTGACATGTTCTTCAACTTCTTTTTCATTATCCTCCTGAGTTAGATCATTATCTATTTTATGCTTTAAACTCCTTTCCCTAGCTGCTAAGAAGCCATCACCTGACCCAGATGAGGCCCACTCTTTTGGTAATCCAAGCAACTCATCCTCTTTATCGAAATCGGGTTTCTCAATCTCACCGTCACCTTCATCATCCATATCACTTCCAAACTCGGGATCAACGTCCTCTTTCTCATAATATTCTTCTCCGAAAGCCACCTTCATCATCTTGTCATAGTCCTCTGGATCAAAATCCTCATCTAAATTTTTGATATCCAGTAAGCAAATCTCGTCCTCCCCAATTCCTGCTGTCACGCTAATCTTCCTAAGCTTCTCCTTCACCTCCTCCTTTTTCAAATTTTTTAGATGCTTCAACTCCTCCTCCCTCTCTATTCTTGCAATCTCCATCCTCTCTTCCTTACTCTTCCTTTGCTCCTTCCTCGAACTCTTCTTTTTCCTCACTGTCCCCTCAATAGTCCTACTATGCCCCAAAATCCTATCTCCTGCATTTTCCTGAAACCTGTATTCATATTCCTCTTGTTTTTCAATCTCCTCCTCATCGTCTGACAACATGGCCATCTCCTCCTCCCCAACCTTTCGATCTTCACCAAGCCACAATTTATTCTTAAAATACTCCTTCAAAAACTTTGAATTATCGTCCAATTCGTCATCCCCATCCCCAAAATACTCATCCAACTTCCTCTCAAATTCAACATCCTTCTCCTCTTCCACCACACCTCTCTCCTTCACTTTCAAAAGTCCTTCCTCGTCATCTTCACCTTGCACTTCTGCTGCCTCGAAGAATGCCTTACGTATCTCCTCTTGCTCCTTGTCGTAAACCTTCACATTTTTAGTTTCCTCATTATTGAATTCAGGGCCCTCTTCCATCAAATGTTTTGCTACCACATCTTTCAAATACATACTCCTTTTCTTCTTCTCCATTGAACCATCTTTATCACTTTCCTCGCCATGGCTGTCATCCGAATCAAAAAGCTTGACATCTTTCTGTTTAAGAGTTGGATCCTGCTTCTTGATCTTGATTAATGCATTAAAGAACTCCATGTCCTTCTTCATAAATTTTTTGTTGTCTTCTTCATCCGATGAAGATAATTCAGATTCTGAGCTGTCAGATTCCGAGTCTTCAACTAGACCCTTCTTCTTTAGCTCCTCTAAGCGCTGAAGATCCTCTCGCTTCTTATTATGCTCGAACTTTTTTGCATAATCCCGATTAATTTCTATCTTTGAGTCATCATTGTCGGTATCACTGCCATCAAATAGTCGTAAACCCATTGTTTCTGCAACAGGGAAATACTTCAAATTAGGATTTTAAATTAATTATATACGTAGGCATCACATTAGGGGTGTAAATGGATCGGTTTTAGACCCTTACCTTCAATCCCTCAACAATATGCCACTTTTGCTCTAATACAACTGACAATATTATCTTCTAATTTTTTTTCAAAAGAGCAGCCTAGCCAACATTAAATATAAGATATCCATTAAAGGAGTTAGCCTAATATTTCCCACTACAAACTGAAATAGTTACAGTTTCAAAAAAATGTGATAGCAAGGAAAGAAACTCACCACATTGTTAATGAGCTTCAAATGAAATGTGATTCTAAACTAATTAAATTCATCCTAAAATATGCATACTCCATTCGAGGTTTGGAGTGTAGCGCATTTCAATACCCCTCTCTCTGAAGAACCTACCTCATCCTACCCCACTAAAAGCCATCCTAACATGCTGTCACTCATCTTTGACAGCATTGTCTAAATAATTATATCAATTTCTTAAGGTTTGGAAACAATAAACTAGAGAAGCGATGAGTGCAAAAGAGAAACAAAAGATGCTTTAGATAATTACAATTTTCAGAAAATAGGAAAACAATGGGAAACGGTGATTAATAAAAAATCAACTTCCATATCAATTTCATTTTTCCTGCAAGAACAATTTCAAACTATTTTCGATACCAATCCAGTAACCTATGACACTAAGATAATACCCATGCTTCAATTAATTAACTTCAAAACCAGAAGAAACCAAAGTCGCACACACTTAAACAAATCCAGAGCAGTCTAATAGACTTCTTTCCAGTCCTGGCAACTAAAACGTATACAACAATTCATGACACTTCAATCTTCGCCGGAACAAAAGCATAAAAAACGAACTAACCGAAAATCAACACGACACGGAAGAGAGAAGATGAAGTTATTGAACCACATTTCCTCAATCTTCATAAATATGTTTCTGCATCGAGACGAAGACTTACCGCATAAGCAGACGCCGGCGATAGCGAGGAGGAGATGTCGCCGGTGCTACGAAGTAGTAGACGACGAACACCGATTACAGATATCGGAGAAGACGACGCACGGTTGGCAGCCGGAGGTGACGACAGAAGGGAGGCGGCCGGAGTCGACGACGGATTGAGAAATGCAACAACGAAAAAACCAGAGGATGGAGAAATCTGAAGTTTGCCCTAATTTTTTGCCCTAATGTTTACCAATTCTGTTTTTCAAAATTAAATTAAAAACAAATGCATTTTGTAAAACATTCTTTTTAAATGGAAAAATATATTTCTTCTTCGAAAAAATGGAAAATGTTTTTCTTATTACAAAATAAAGTTTTATTTTTTTAAATAATACTTTTATTTTACTTACTTTTCAAAAATAAATGCTCAATTGAAACATAATAACAAAATTGTAACTTTGAAACAATCTCAAAAAATAATGCTTTAAATTGTAACTTTGAAACCATCTCAAAAACTAATGCTTTGGAATTACCTTCGCTACTTGGTCGTCTTAAGGGAGGACCATACTATTGTGAGGATCTGGTCTTATCTTCAAGGGATGATGTTGATTTTTTTCTTTTAAATAAAAGAATGATTATCTCTTGAAGAAACGACCATCTGAACATACATTTATGATCGTCTCTTCAAGATACGACATTTATTTTTTTGAAAAAATAAAATAAAATATTAATTATATTATATATTAACCAATACCATATAATTTATAAGATTAGTTTTTGGCTAAGTGATATACCGCTCTATAATCTTTGCCTTCCTAAGTTCAAAACTTAATATTTGCATCTTCTTTTTTTTTTATGTTAAAATCAATTTTTACCTTATTATTATTATTATTATTATTATTATTATTGAAAACTATAATAACTATATAATATTATATATATAATATTTTAAATAAACTATATACAAAATATATATAATAAATAATAATATACAAAATATTATTCTTATTAATAATATTATATTGATAATATTTTTGATAAATTATATATATAATATATAAAATAGAATGATTATAATTTTTCAATTATATATAAATATTTATAATAAATAATAATATATAAAATATAATGATTATACTTTTCAATAATAAGAAGAAGAAAATAAAAAAATAAAAAATGAAGGAGGGTACTCCCTCCGCTGAACCAAGGACTAATCTAAAAATAAGTTAAAAGATAACTAAATTATAAAATCAAGTTAAAAAATAAGTTGATTAATATGTTTCAAACCATCATTATTTTAAAAATGTTTAAAAAGAGTATTATTTAAAAAAAACCTAATAAAATATTATAAATAGAAGTTTGGCCGAAAATTCTATTTTTTATTGAGTGCTTAGATTTTAAAATTTGACACGTTTGTTTCTAAAGTTTAGGAAATACTTTATTTTATTTAAAAAATTGACCTGACATATTTTATATAGTAAAATATATTTTTGATAATTGAGATTTGAGTTAGGTATTTATTTGATCTCTAAAATTTAATGTAGTTGACTAATAGAAATATGTTATATGATATGATGGTTAATTTGTCGACTAGATTTAATGAATTGACAATGTTTTTCGATTTATTTGGCTTACGTGCATCTCCTTTCATTTCTTCCTCAGCCTTTCTCGAGTAATTGGCATTTTTTACCCCAAATGGTTTTTCATTTAGACTTTTGACTCATTTTTAAAATTTTACTTGTGACCCTTCAGCCTGTTTTTTATCCCTTTTCACTTTTTGCATTTGTAAAAATACAAAAATTACCCCATTTTAAAACCACAATCTCGAACTCTATCTCAGGGGAATTTGACCGATTTGACCTAAAAATGTTTTAGGTTTGCTTAAATGACCTAAATTCAGACTTTTCACTTATATGACCCAATTTCTCTTTTTCTGACACGTCAGAGAAGGTGGCTTGACGAAATTGCCCCTGTTGTATATGAAAAAAATGGACACATCTATTCTTAAAAAACCCGACCGAGATCGCACAAAACTCGACGGAGTTTTTACAAAATTCCCCATAATTTTACTAACCGTTGGTCTTCGATTTCCCCTTTCTTCTTCCCTTCTTCTTTCTTCTT